TTCTAGCACCCCATACATGGAGAATAGAAGGGTAGGAGAGGGCATGACGTCGGCCGCGTAGCCTCCACAAGCCATGCTCCCTTGACGCCTCGCCTCTTTCTCATTTTCCTCCTTACTCTCCTCACTTACGTGACCACATCACGTGACCGTAGCTAGCCTTCTTCTTGCTATGGGGTACTAGAATACACCACAGTCTAGACTTCGATCTGATAGAACCTACCGGACGGAGCGCGCGAAAGCCTGCAAGGCGTCCTTCTACAATCAACCATCCATCTCACACGTGACATGTCACGCGCACCAATCGGCAGAGAGATCTGCGGTCGCGCTGGGCACAAAATCGTTTAAACTTTTTATGACTAGGCTTCACCAATATTGCAACGTGCCCCCTCCTAGTACTTCTAACCTCCTTGACCCCATAGCTAGACGAAGACTAGCTACGGTCACGTGATGTGGTCACGTTGGGCGGGACAAGTGAGGAGAGCAAGGAGGAAAATGAGAAAGAGGCGCGGCGTCAAGAAAGCATGGCTTGTGGAGGCTACGCGGCTGGCGTCATGCCCTCTCCTACCCGTCTATCCTCCTTGCCTTCGAAGCAGAGCGAGCTTTTGGAGGAGTCTGATATTTGGCCGATCTCGTATTCGAACCAAAGCCGAAGAGACAAACGTCACGGCACAGGCGCGGATCGCGCGGGAACTTCAAATTTGGCTTTTGGAAAAGTTGGTTACTTCACGAATACTGCGTTCAGAAGTTTCGAATATTGAGGATAATGTCCATGCATTGTTGTTAATTGTTTCAGATAATAATATAATAATAATAATTAGGGGTGTCGCGAACCGGCCGCGGTTCGAGTTCGACCAGGTTCGACTTTTTCGAACTTTTAGTGGAAAGTCGTCGAACCTTGTATTGAGGTTCGACTCGTGTGCGCATGCGCGACAGGCTGGCCAGTTGGCTTCGGATTGGATGGTAATGGCTAAAAGATGAATTAAGTGCAGCGCTGATCCGCTGTTTCAGTCAGTACAGTACAAAAATTTAAGTTATTAACTTCTTTAGTGAATAAAATTAGTTTCTTTCAATTGCAGCTGTTCACAAAATAAAATAACCCTTTGCATAAAAAAAAAAAATTCTCCAAACCTAGACATACTTATATCAAAGTCTGGCCACACTGTCCACAAAGTCGAACCCACTGGTCGAACCGTTCGTATCTGGTGAAAAGTTCGAAGGTTCGTCGAACCGGTTCGACCAAGTCGAACCCCCAAAGTTCGACCAAAAAATCTGGTTCGACAAAAGTTCGCGACACCCCTAATAATAATATAATTTTGGCCTTTCCGTGCCTCTTTTATACCTCCGGCGAAATTAAGTGCGATTGTGTAGATTTTGAGCGACTGGTTTCAAGGCTGGCATAAAGCCACAGTAGAAGTTAAACATTTAGATGTTTTACTTAATACCACTGTCGACCTAGTCATCTGCTCAGGATTGAAGGCTTTCTTCCACCATTTCGATAGGAAGATTGGAGGGGCGGAGGGGCGGCGAGGCGTTCTTCCATCTTCCCATGGACACGTCGCTTGCTTTCTTCTCTGCGCCGGTCGCGGATGGCGGGCTTCGGGTTCATTGTTTGGCGACAATGATAGCCCTTATTTCCTGTTCGCGGCTGCTAGCCATGGAGGGCAGAGTAGAATCGCTGTTGGGGGTCCAGGGAAGGGGGTCAAATTGTTTAAAGGGCTCGAGGTAAGCTCTATCGTGCGCGGGGACATCCTTTGTCCGTAACCTGCCTCCGTTTCTTTTTACGTTAAAGGGATACTACAACGAAATTTCGGCACTCATTTTTTGGTCTATATGTGTTCAAAGGAGCAGCATCACATCGAACATACCAATATCTTGTTAAAAAAGTCACAAAAAGGAATTTTAAAACAAATTAAACGATTAGCAAAGAGCACCTGGTGGATGTCGCTAACGCCTCGCTTCCCCTCTCTTCTCCAGCATTTCGTCTGCTTCCTCCTCCCCGGCCCGTCTTACCCTCGCCCTTCGTTCTTAGGTTGCAACGGTTGTCTCGCCTCCGGCCACGAAGAGAGAAGAGGGGCAGGAGGAACTCCCCTCTTCCCGAGATTGCCTTTTGTGTGTCGCAGAAGTCGCTATTGTCCCCCTACAAGATTACAGAAGATTAACCCGTCCCTCAAAATTCGTACAAAAGCAGCCGCTTCGGTGGCTGGAACGACTAGGCCATCCTCTCGACGTCAGCCTCGCCGTAGTTTTGCTCGTCTTGAGACGACCTACGTCTCGATTGCGTTGGATGTCACGTGGTCTCCGCGGGGCCTCCTCCGAGCGCTTGCTAGAGTGGGCCGTTTATAACGAAAAATACAGCCACCAGGCTCTAAATAGAAACGTGCGGTTGTCATTTACGGATATTGTGGATCATATTCAACCTATTTTTGAACACGACGGGAATATTTCAACTTTCGTTGAAGTATCCCTTTAAGACCTCGTTTCATCTTGTGATGAACCCAAGGAGGTTATAAGTACTAGGAGGGGTGCGCGTGACATGTTACGTGCAAGATGGATGGTTGATTGTAGGAAGATTTCTTGCAGGCTTGCGCGCGCTCCGTCCGGTAGGTTTTATCAGATCGAAGGGTAGACGAAGGCTAACTACAGTCACGTGATGTGGTCATGTTGGGCTGATAAGTAAGGAGAGGAAGGAGGAAAATGAGAAAGAGGCGAGGCATCAAGGGAGCATGACTTGTGGAGGCTATGCGGCTGATATCCTCTTTGGATGAACCGCAGGGGATGGCTACGGGCCGAGTCTGTGACACGGCCCTGGCGAGGCATCTTAACGCAACGCAAAGTATAGTGCATCAAAGACTTGGATAACGCAAGGCACGTAGCCTCTGCCCTTAACATAATGGTCGTGTTTTGTACCAGTGTTACATAATTTATGTTGTAATGAAGCTAGCTTGTTTGGAGAAACAACTACTGGTTGGCAACTCTGTCGTTAAGAAAAATTTCTTTGAGATGGATGTTTTCTATATAAATATTTCTATGTACAAACTGAACCCGAGTTAAATATTCATTGGAACAAATAATTTGAACTTTAAAGGACCTTGCTGTCTGTTTAAAATGTCACCTGACCAATGTAACCGCGCTCACTTTTGTTCACCGTAGCGGCAGGCCCGTCTCTGCCAGTGGCTTGCGTTTCTTTCGCCAGCTCGCTTCCAGCATTGGCTTCCAGACAATTTTTTAGGCGCTATGAAATAAAGAGCTACGCTTGGGATAAACCAAAGCATAGCTCTCCAGCAAGATTCAGCTCCCCAGTAGGGGTTCCTTGGTTCACACCTTGCGTCGCCCCGGAATGTCCGCATCGGCTGAACTTCGCTGTGGGAAGCTGGGTGGTACTTGCGTCGGAGGCCAAGTTGGTTCCCTTGGCCACACCGACTAACTCGATAGGAGGGGGCTACTTTTATATAAATGATTTAATACTGTCGTAGCGAATAAAGGTACATAGCGAAACAGAGCTGCAAAGATTACTCTAGTGCGAGGTGGGAAGGAGGTGCTCGGGTGTTAGCCATACTTGGCTGGCTCGTAGGATAAAATCCCGATTACGGGGGCACTGTCCCTCGGAGTCTCTTGACGGGGTTCGATTACGGAGCGTGAGCTATCGAGCTCCAGCACCAAGTAGAACCACTAAAATCACTTGTTGGCCCCTCCCTTTTTGGTAGACCTGCGATTCCCCGACGCGTCATGAAACGGGCGTTTCCCAGTGGCCGAGAGTGCACAACCAGTCGGCTCACTTCTCCACCATGGGAAAATCGCTTAATTTTCCTGTGTGAGGCTCCACGATCTGCGTATGTCTCACGGCCAAACGTCAAGCAGGTTCGGACGCGAGCAAATGACTCCTTAGAACTCGTGACGCAAGTCGGACAGCCGTCCCCGATGTGGACAGCGCCGACGATCATTCCGCCAGACGTGGTCTAACGTTGCCCAGTCAACCACCGCACTCTCCGATAGCTCTCCCGACCGGAAACGCACGTTCAGGTTCTCTCGGCTGGAAGCGCGAGTTTTAAACCTCACATCGCAAAGTACGCCAGTCTATCCAAGTCGCCCTCTACCGAGGAAAGTCTTCGCCAACGCTTTCGTATACCAGCTAAGTCCCTCTCGTGCTAACGGTGGACCGTTAGCACGAGAGCATTAGCACGAGTGTAAGGATTGCCTTCGTCAATCCTTACACCCACAGTTGGGCAAAGAGGGCCTTTCAGACGATGCACTCGTACGGAACAGTAATCCAATGTCAATTCTATGTAAAATGTATTTATTAAAACAAAAAAATCTCGCCGGTGTCACTTTTGTTTTTGGGTTTCCCCAGTGTCGTTAGGAGCGCAACCCAGTATGCCCCCTGCCTCTCCCCCAACATTGCGTCCATCTACTGATTCTGGTCGCCACAGGCGTGCTGCCTCCTCATGTGGCTTCTGAGTTCACCTGGGGACAGGAACCCTTTGCCGCAGTCCCCGCACTTGTGGGGATACTCTTTTGAGTGTGCCCCGATCAGGTGCCTCTTCACGCTGCTGAAATCAGAGGCCCTGTAGCAGCACAGGTGACAGGCATAGGGCTTCTCGCCGGAATGGGTTTGCCTGTGCCTTGAGAGGTGACTTGTCTGAGCGAATCCTCTACCACACTCTGGGCAGACGTGGAGCCGCTCTCCGGTGTGTGCTTTCGTGCGTCCTCAAGTCTGCCAACTGGGCGAACTTCTGCCCGCACTCGGCGCACTCATGAGGACGCTCGCCCGTGTGCACATTCTGGTGCCTGGTCAAGTTGCCCTGCTGCGTGAAAGCCTTGCCGCAGGTGCCGCACACGAAAGGCCTCTGTCCCGTGTGGGTGCGCTCGTGCATGACTAGGTTTTGTTTAATATCGCTGGAGTAGGGACAGTAATTGCATTGGTGCCCACCTCCTCTTTTCTCGTGCATCTTCTTCCATTGTCCCTGGAAGTGTTCGAGGGAAGCGAAGACGCTGTCGCAGTCCTTGCACGCGGAGGTCTGCACTGACCCCTCGAGGGACGGTGCCTCTTCTTGGTCTGCACATGGACGAGCAAGACAAGGGGGGCAGAAAGTTAAGGGGGGACAGTGCCGTAAAATTCCGAGATGCCCCTCCCCCGAACGGTAACCCACCCCCCATTTTGGGCTCGATTTGTTATTTTCTTTGAAAACACAGAAAGATAGCCCACTTTTAGTAAACCTAGTGTTCGGATGAATGATGATCTTGGCGTAAATGTGTCCGGTTAAGTAGGGCGGGACATATAAGCGAACATTGCTGTCTCAGAAGTACAGCCATATTTCCTTCATTGCCCCCTCGCTGCGATAACCCTTACAGAAGAAACACATATAATTTTCATACAGATTGACCCGTTTGGGTCACACAATGTTATGGACATACGGGGCCCGTATGCAAACAGGTCGTCCTATATGTGAACAGGTAACAAACAGGAGCACCCGACCAGATACGGATCGACCTGTTACGCGGACTGACCCGTTATGCAGGTCCACCCATACGATTCCTGTTCAGAAAAAGGTAAGCTGGCAACCCCCGGTCTGCCTTTCGTATTCCAAGGCTCTCCACTGAAATGAAATCCTGACACACTTCCTGAAAAGAGCATGCAAGAAACTAAAACAAGGTCTCGAAAGCAGGTACAGTTGACGAAACAGATATGTTACAGGCATGACAAAAGCAAATAGCCACGCACTGTCATCATATCAACAGGAAAACTAAATTCCCAAAAGTAGCTTAAAACTGCAGCTTCCTGTCGATATCTTGAAGTTGCTCCGCGATATACTTGTTCATGAAACCCTTTTGTTTCCTAGGCGACACATCCGAGGGTGCTTGTCCGATGTACATGTCGAAGGAATCTGAAAATGAAAAGAACATGGAAATTATCCATATGCACTGCTGTTAAGTCAAACCCGTTTATGTCGAACTCGGAAAAACCCGTCCACCAGTTCGATCTAGCGAGTAATTCTATATAAAAGTTTTAATGAATTTGACAACGAACAAGCACGCCACATCTAGAAACGTTTACACTCAAAGGAGCGTCTGTAGGTCATGAGGGACGCTCTATGCGGCCATTCAGAGGCCGCTTTTTGTCTTTCAAGGTCTCACCGGCTCACCCTCTCCCCACTCCCTAGAGAAAAGAGAATTTTTTTCTCCTTCGGGGCGATTAAAGCGGTTGCCCCAAAAGAAAAAAAGCCAGCTTTCTCTGCAAGCTGGTTTTTCCCCAACGAGTTGCTCGCAACGGGGCGAAAGCCAGCTTGCAGAGCAGTTCGATCTATCGGGAGACGCTGCAATTCCCGTTCAATGTAACCACATTTTTCGCAATGCATTACTATTGCAGCTCCTAGTCTGTTCACAAACAGTTTGATACAAGGGATGGTTTGAATTAACCAGGTGCGATATAATCGGGTCTACTTGTAGCCCTAGAAAAAAACATCACAATCGCATGTTAATTTGTTGTAATATAGGACTGAACAAAAAAAACACTGAAACCAGAAAAAAAAAATTTTTTTTATACCCAATTAGGACAGGCATGTCTCAAAACTAATGTTCGTCGGAAAAAAAAGAAGTTTGCCCAATATTTATGTAAAAAAGCGCGAAACACATGTACGACGAAACCGTCCGATCCGACGTGCGAACTGCCGGAATGGCCTTCGAGGGCAAGAGTTTTTTGTAGCACCGGAGAGCGTTGAAAACCCTCGGCTCCGACTGTCGTATTGCCTGATCGGACGTCGGATCGGACGGTTTCTTTGTACATGTGGTTCGCGCTTAATGCAAATTTTTCGACTTGCAGGCGAGACCGAAATTGTACCCCTATAAGATGATGATCATGATAGCTTTTGTACCCCTCCAGTGAGCCGCATGACAACGCTCAAGTCCTTTTTCCCTGCAGAATCATGCAAAGAGTTCTGCAGTGGAATTGCCAGGGCTGCGCAAGAGGGTGGCGGAGCTCGGGGCTCGACGTACCATCGGAACGCCCAAATATCCTACTCCTGCAGGAAACTAACACGACAGAGATTGCATTACCAGGGTTTGAGGTGTATTCGTGCCCATCCATCACTAACAAAAGGTTTGGGGAGGGTCCCAGAGGCAGAGCAATGATCTATGTGAGCACAGACTCACCACGCTGCCAAATCGACGCCACGCAGTTTTGCACCGACGACCAAGAGGTTTTTGCCATTAAGATTTCCTGGCCACAGAAGTATATAACGATGGCTTCTGTCTACTATAGACCGCTGCCCTCGAAGCAGCAACTCCAACTAGAAAACGGTTGGATCGCTCACCTGCACGATATGTACCCTAGAAACCATAAAGTGTACGGAGGAGATTTCAACCCACATCATCCAATTTGGGGGTACTGCAAGAGGAGCAATGGAGTAGAAGATTTGATTGAGGAGATGACGACATAATAGCTACACCTGGCCAACTCAAAAGGAGCCAAGACGAGAATTGGCACAACAGGACAGAAGGTCACTACACCGGACCTCGCGTGGGCTGCCATGGTAACGAGGTAGGCAACACTGGTTTGTCGGCAACAGGTATCACAAACGTTGTTGCCACCCTAAACAGCGGAGCGGCGGAAACATGTAGGCACCCTAGTCCTCCTCACCTGCATCATGGCAGGTGCCACCCGCTCCCCAGCACGCATGGCCGCATGGAGCAAAGGAAGACGCTCCAGCACGTGCAACCAATGCACGAACAACATAAAAGGAGGCATGACTTATCTCTTCTGTGAATGCCCCTACTATCAACAAATTCGGACCAAGTTCAAACCCATATATGCCCAGAACCTGGTTGACTGGGTTCACCCAAAGTCATCAGACAAAGACAATGACCAGCTTAGTCTCCTAAACTTCATGCTAAAAGCGAAGCTGGACGTGTATGTGCAGATTCTCTCCTCCCTCATCCCTTTTAGTGCCACATGCCCAGACGGAGATGTCACGTGCCATATTCCCCTCACCTTCACCTTGTTTTTGTGGCAATAAAAACGCCTTTTGAATCTGAATTCGCTGGCCACTCCCCCTTTTACTACTGGATTCGCTTGGCTAATTGGCCGAATATCGTGATTTTGCGGTGTGACCAACGTGTTGTGGCGTTGAACACACGTGCACACGCCTGCCGTCACCACGATGGCAGCGAGACCGATAAACCCGGAGCTCAAGCATGAACTTTTAGATCGCTGCGAAGAGCTCGGACTTCGACCTTACGTGGACACGCCTCAGAGGACGGCTGGTAATGACGAAGTCGACGCAGCGCCTCTGCCGCCTGACAGTTCACCTTGCCTCGACGACATGGACTGGTAATGAACATCTGATTCCTTTATTGACGGGACAAAAATAGCGTAGCTGCTACCTCGTTGATTAGAAGTGCTCACTAACTGCTTCTGTTGTTGAGCCACCTCGTCAGGAGGTCAAATCAAATTTGGGGGTTTTACGTGCCAAACCTACGACGGGCATCTGGCACGCCCCAGCGGAGGACTGAAGATTATGTTCAACCACCTGGGGATCTTTTGACGTGCAACCGAAAGCTTGGTTACCTGGGGATCTTTTGACGTACGATCTTGTCAGAAGGAAAAAACGGAAAAGTTTGCTTGTAGTGCTGCTATTGACTCGTGCAAAATTCCGAGCAACTTTTTGCACCCCACTATTGCCCGTTTCGATCGTACCGGCATGCGGTCGTGTATCACTACTGCGTGATGCACGTTAAAAACCCCAGGCTAGCGGTTGTACTGCACTGTCTAAATTTTTCATCTACAGCTTAGAATCTACAGTCGCCCGTTGAGACAGACTAACTAGGTTATATAAACATACACACACCAATTTCTTTTTTGATTTTAGGTGCAGTTGCGGCCACTGCCACGTGATGTTGACGGCCGCCAAATGTATCTGTTGCATGGAGGTGGGGGAGGCCGCCGCCAACACCGGCAGTGTCTGCACCACACAGCACAGCGACTTCTTCGGGGCAATCCGCAATCCCGTCGGCCTCCAAATCGCGTTTCGCATGAGGGCGATCGAGCTCTTGGACAGGGAGCTTGTCGGGAACAGGGAAACCCACAGGTAAGGCCTTCAAACACCAGGTGGTGTCGGGTATTTGAAACACTAACACACTGGTCAGTTTCAATCTAAATCATTTTGCATAACCGAATACCTACATACAGGGCTCTGTTTAAGTTTGGAATGAGGCAAGCGGGCATCAGACTTCGGTGCAGAAACTGGCCTCTAGTTCTAAGGAAGTCATCCGAGGTTGGAATTGGTAGGTGCAGTGAGGATTCCACTTTGTGTGCAATTCATTATTGTAAGAGATGGTACAGTTTATTCTACCATGGGCAGATATGATCTTCGTAAACCCGAGTTCAATCTGGATTCTCCATTCCTTCAACGGAGGTACAGGTGCGTTGCATACCACCAGTTTGCAAGGTGGATTTGGCGCCGCCTTGGGAGGCACAACAGGAAGATCCTGCCTGCCTGTGTAGTAAAGGCCATTAGGAATGCCTATCCATCAGAAGAATACTGTGGCTTTAGATATCCTGCCCTGTAGGCCTTACATGTTCTCAGTCACCCCAGTGCAATATTGCTGTGCGCAGGGCCAAACAAGCAGCGCTCGGTCACGGAACTCCAGAAGATTGGCGTTTATTCTTACTCGGGCGTAACTTTTATCATTTCGTCCTAGTTTCTTGTTCTCGAAAGTGCGTGTTCATTCTCACCCTGAACACCCGGTGCTCGAACCTTCTGGGCCGGATTTTTGCGATGCCGACGGAGATTAGAAAAGGAGCTGCCCGTGACCTTGTCGAGTCGGTCTCGCTCTCGCTTCCTGTTACGCCGCCAAATTGCCGCCTGCTTTTCTGCTGTCTCGACGCTCATTCTTTATTTTGTTTGACACAAGTTCGCTGATTAAACCCTTCTTTTATGTTCATAATTTACCGTCTCTTCGCCTTGCTCCGTGACAATATGCACTTTGGAAGACGACGGGGTTTAGGGTTCCCCAGAGATTTCGCTGTGTTGAGTGGTGCAGCAGCTGCCCAGATTTCGGTTCACCTCATCCACCTCCACCAACCCGGGCAAAAAGTACTGGCTTATGGAACTATTCTAAGCTGGATCCAACATGTCCCAGCATGGAGTAGTTCTCTAAACCAGTGCATTGACTTTTGCATGGGACTAACTGCAATATCAGAAAGTGAGGCACACCTTACGCCAATATGTGCTATTCTTTTAAAGCATTTCTGTGTTCTAACATGCTGAATAAAAAATTGCAAGTTGATGTGTCAAGTAATTTTTATTCTCCAAGTAAACATATTTTGTATGAAATCAAATGGCTTCAGGAAAGCCTCAGAATGGTAGCCTGTATGCCCTTCTGTTTCAGCTTGGTGAAGCCACAAACAAATGCCACCTTCTCCATGGCGTTGCTTGACGTCACCTCGTATGACTGGTCACAATGTGTACGCATTAATTTCTTCCAACAGACAATGTACTGCAGCATCAATGCAAGACCTCCACAAATGCAATCAGATTTAAAGCAGAAAGGAACAGTGGTTGTAAACAAGAGGCAAATCAGTTTTACAATAATTTAGTTTGCCTCAGTTAGTAAATGTTACCTCGCCTTTCTTCCTGGTGACTGCCTTGTGGAAGCTGTAGGTGCAGTACTTTGCGCTGAATCCTGGCAAATCGCAGCGTCCATCCCAGCAAGGGCAATGCTCTTGCCTCGGAGACCTTGCAGAAGCTCAGTGTTCTGCTGCTCATACACTTGGCAGGCAATTATGTGTTATAAATTAATACGCAATGCAATGTTTTATTCTCTACACTTATTACTACTCTGACTTACCCGATTCGCAGCAGGCATCAGATAACCAGTCTGATATTGTTGTAGGTGCGCTCCGAGATGGCTTGAATGTTGACGGACTTGTTGCTGCTCAAGATGGTCGCAGGAGAAGCACCTCCAAAGAGATTGGCTGCACAAATGCAAACATTGCCTGTTGCTTTGCCACTTACCTTTGGTTGGCTCCACCATGTCTTCTGTTGACAATCAGTAGTGTGCCGACAACATCTGTGGTGTTGCAGCAAGGGGCATGGCACTTGCGGCACACCTTGAAACGCTCCAGGAGGCACCCTTCAAAAACAATAAACTTCCGCTATTTGTGGGGTGGCGCCTTTACGCAGTCACTGTCGTCACTGAAAATATAAATAAAACTGTAACATATTCCGGGGGTTATTTGAAAGTACTACCTTTGGAAGCTCACATTTGTGGAGGGCGCATAGCTGGTGTCACCAGGAGCATTGCTCTCCTCCATGCCGTCCTCCCCCTCGTCTGCATTGTAAGGACATTGTAAGGACGTTTTAGAAGGTCAGGCACTGGTGCGGTTAGCATGACCGTTAGAATAGTAAGGAATTGTGGGCAACGCTCACCCGAGTCACTGCTGTCCTCAGCTGACTCATCCTCCACATTGGTGCTGGTGTTGCTGTCACAGCTACCAGGGTCATCTGAGTTTTCTTGCTGTCAGAATCCCTTGGGCCATCTCGTCTGCCCTCTGGATCATTACTGTTGCCTGCATAAGAAGGCCTATCCAGCACATCGCTGACACTTACCTCACCATCAGGTGGTATGGGAGCCGAACTGTGAGGACGGATGTCCTGGGCCTGCAGTTGGGGGGTTGTCCTTCAAACTGGAGACGGCAATTGAACCTGGAGTGCTGGGGCAGGCTGCAAAGGTGGCATCCTAGCACTGCACTCTTGGTTCACCTGTGCAGCTGCAGATTCTATACACATTGCAAACAAAGGATTAATTTCCACTAAAACTAAACAATGCCGAGGTTCCCACATATACATACTATACTATAAGTTGAGTATTCAGTCACACTTACGCACTGCTGTAGTGCCTTCTTGTGTGCCTATGTCTGCAGGATCTGTCTGTACCAACAGATGCACGAGGAACGAAACAGGTGCAGCTGGAAGCCTGCGACAAACATTGCAAAAAGTACAGTATAGACCACTTACAACGTAACCGCTTATAGTGCAGGACCGGGTATAACGCGGCTTTTTTAAACCACCGGTTCGCCTCCCATAGAACTCCATGTATTTACATACCGCTTAAAATGCAGGCGCGCGAAGGGAAATACCGGTTATAGTGCGGTTTCTGGAAGAGCCCGGCGGCCGTGCCGACTGACCGGCGCAGCGAGCACGCTTCCCTTTGCGGCGCTAGATAACGGCGCGAGCCGCGAGCGGCACTCGCGGGGCATGGAGGTTGCTCGAAAAAACCGGGAGATGCGAAGAGAGAGGCTGCAGTTGCCATAGCGACGGAGGGACGCATGCACGTGTCGTTCTCGTGCGTGCGTCCCTCCGCTGCGATGGTTGGAAACAACCGCAACGACAGACCAATCGCAGGTCGAGGAGAAGTGTTGCATGCCGGCAGTGCGTACACACTATTGGCTCTCTCCTTTCCCCCCCAACCTCTATTACAACGCTTCTCCTCCTCTCCGGTCGCGGGTCGGCTGCGTCTATCCGCAAACATGGCGTTGGTTTTGATCGTCGACGTAGATTGCGTGATGGAGGCTCATCGTTCCGCGTAAAAGCGCTACCCTTGACTGTGAATTTTCGTTGTGTGTCGTTATGATAACCCAGCACGCACTAGAAGGGAAGATCCAAGGAAAGATCCACCTACTCGTGCGGCGATGTCGTGGCGGCACTCTCAAGACGGCAGAAACGCCCGTGTCGTCGTGTTTGTTTACTTCGACTAGAGTGGTGCTTTCTGTGTTTTCGAACATCGCCCGGATTTCTTATTTGGAGCATTTCATGCCTGTGCTCAAGTTGAAGGTATTACTGGCGCGTACCGTATGAAGGATGCGAATTTTCACGCGTTTTCATCGCCGGAGAAAAGTGATTAGGGTTAGCAATCCTGAACGCTCGCAACGTCCGCGACGTCCGTCCGCAACCCGCGACGCTGTTAAAAGGCTGCGCCAGGCAAAAGTCGCTCATTTCTTTCAAAATGTGTGACACACTTGAGACAGAACTGTTCTAGTCTGGTGAAATAAAGACTTTCCTCAAACTAAGCTTTATTTTTCACCTAACATAAAGTAAATTCTTTTACAAAGGTAAGTAGTCTCATGGCATGTATTTTGGCCTGAAAAATTGATGTTTTGGTTATAACGCGGTACCGCTTATAGTGCGGATTTTTGCGACTCCCGCGACATACATTATATGCGGTCTACACTGTATTGGGCATGGTCTAAAGATATTTCACAGTTTTGATGGCACTCATGTTCAGCTGAAAGTGTGAGCACCGATATGAAAGGCCTATGTTTGCAATTTGTGTCTAAAGTACAATTTGCACTCAAGGTCAGTAAGAGAGTGGAATGGGAGTGGCAAGGGAACTCACCACACTGGTGTCTGACGCAATGCTTTGTATGGCTGGTCCAACCATGTCGATTGCGTCGAGCTGAACAGATGCAATAATTTGGACGTCCCTTGTCCCTGCCAGTGACTAAGGGTAGAAGAAATAATAGTGCAACATGTGCTTAATGTACATTCCGTCCTGAGAATCGAGACGGCCACGGTACCAAATTTACAGGAGAGGAACCTCCAACGGGGCTGTCATGGCTTGATGCAGCTGCTGGCCTCTTCAGGCCACTCGATCCTGTCAGCATCTGGTTGAAATGCATAGAAGAAATGCGCATTGGTGGTGGGCTACAGATGTAGCTTGTTCAATATACACTCAATAGTACTCGAACTATGCAGGTGTGTCATGCAGGAAAAACTCAAACTCTAGGTGGTGGGGGTTGAATGCAAGATCCTGGGTTCTGCTTAGTTTGCTTTGAGGGGTGGCAGGGATCCCATCGCTGAAATGCAATTTAGAGCAATTTTTGGGAGCACCAAAATATGCATTCTGGAGCCATTTGGAGCACCAAATGTTAATTTTCTGTGCACTTTGTAGCATGTAAATACACATTTTTAGCGCTTTACAGCAACCAAGTTGACTTTACAAGAATTTTGAAGTTGGCACGTATTTTACCAGGCATCTTTTACTATAACGAAAATGTGCTTCATGCCATATTCCAGTTGAAAACCATCAGGGGAAACTTTTTGAGAGGTATTAATGAGTATTAATACTAAAAAAGACAACAAGCTGGTTTATGCAATTTTTGGACCAGATTTATTTTGAATAAAGAGATGTAAAAAGAAGTCCAGGATTTAAAGCCTCTATAGTTTTTCATTTACAGTTTCCAGCTTGGTCGTATTCGCAGACAAACTTGCATTTGCCTCGGCAAGAAGTACCCGACCAGATTCGATCTCGTCCATGTTCTTGTCCCTCAGCCCCATCTTGATGAGATGGGGCTGAGGTCTTCAGTCTCCAGGAGCGCATTTCGAATGCCTCCAAATGTCAAGTGGAGTTCACAAGACACGACGGGACTCGGATATACATGCGACGTTGGACAGAAATAGCGCAGTTTAAAAAAAAACAAACAACGCCGGCTGAATATTTGCATTTTAAACGAAAAGGTTCCCACGTGACTCAACGCTACGCGAGTTCGCCCCGTTACGTAGAGCGAAAGTCTCACTGAAAGCCTAACTGAGGTCAGCCAGTCACACGCTCTTACCTTTCTTCATTGCATTCGATGCACAGCAGTCCCCTTCAAAGCCGGCTGTTCTGAACAGCGGGGTAACGTAAGCGTGGCGTAACTGCACAAAACGGTGAACCTTGGCAGAAATCGAACTCGCTCGAACCACGCCACGGGTATGACCAAGATGCGAAGAACAAACAAGAAATGTCACACCCAGCTTTAGTTTATAGTCGCTACGCGCGACTAGTTCCGGGTTCCGCTAGATGTCTCATTTGTGTAAGGTTGCTGTTGGCTCAGGTAGCTGGCGCAAAATGCCGTCCAATCCGCAAACAGAGCTTTTGGAGCACTTTGGCGCAATTTCGCAAAATTTTATCAGCATGGCGCAGGAAATCGCTTTAGGCGCAAAATAGTGCATTTGGTAGAAGAGCAGTAAGTTGGGCGAGTTGGTAAACGTTGAGCATGGTTAAAATCGCGCACAAAGAGACGAGGACAAACGAGGTAGGATCACAGAACACAGACAGGCGCGCACTCACAACTCTAGTATATTAAGTGAAGAAGAGAAAGATGAAGCACTATTTTTTACAGGGGACAACGTCACCAGGGGGAAACAGATCATCCGCAGTCAAATGATCGCAAGAAGGCAACTTCTTTTTCGCTCAAAGCTACCGACGGCTGACTAACGCAGCGATCGGTCAGGCTCAAGATGGTGAACGCCTCGAGCGCCTCGCGCGTTTGTTTTTCCTTAAACCGGCCAATGATTGATGTTTTTTCTAAAGATGGTGTGCACATACAGGTTTTACAGTGCACCGAAAGGTGACCTCCCACATTGGATGTTAAAGAAAGTTTATGCTCTCGTAGCCGGTCATTCAGACACCGTCCCGTCTGTCCAACATAGCATCTTCCACATGAAAGAGGAATGCTATATACAACGCCCGATGAACGGGGAACAAATTCCAGCGGACCTCGAGAGATTAGCGATAATATAAAAACAATCCAAAAGCTATTTTACGATGAGTAAAGCTTTACGCACTCCGGAGCACGACCAACTCCGGAGTGCATTTCGGACGAAATGGCTATACGATGGTTACACTCGGATCTGACTAACCGAGCTGCTTTCCGAATGATGCTCCTTGATTCGGCAAATAATGCAGGAAGGGAGCAGCAGCACGTTGTAAAAGAAATGGGATTGATTTCAGAGCTCACGTTCGAAACGATGAACCAACGGACACAAGTTTCTGAGACACGCCAAACGAACATTGCCGCCATTGCCACCTGGGAGCCTGGGATTTCAAATGGTTATTTCCGGCACGATTTCCGGTTCCGCTTGGCCTGCCATCTGATGAGAGCGAGAAAAGGTCCGAGAAATGTAACGATAAATGTTTCACCAAGAATTTACATGCAAGGAAATGCGAAAACCGTTAATAAAAAGCTATCGTTATTAAGTTTTCCGCGGCGCAGTATCACGCTCTGCTGGTTGATAAAAAAAAGTGGCGGCAAGCGCGGGAAGTTTAGCAGACGACAGTTGAGCGTCTCTTGGGAATCCCGCTCTGCGACCGCCACTCGGCTGAGTCCCAACGAAAATGTCTTCCGAAGACCTGCCTCGCTTCAGCCTCATCCGAGAATATTTCTCGGATGAAGAATGGAACACCATGTCATTCGACGTTAAGTCAAGGATGACAAATCTCAAGGAAAACTACGACCTTCTCTTACGAATGGGTGAGCGTTGTTGGCAGCTGAGCCTCTGAAAAAAGCGCCTCTGCGAATTCGGGGAAAGGGATGGCTGCGAAGAATAATTTGTGACATAAAAGTATTTATTAGTATTCGATACGTTACATTAGGATACCAGGCCTGAACACCGGGTCCCCGGTATATTGTAGCCTCAGCACCGAGGTCCGCTGTGAAATGCAGATACTCGGCAGTGACAACGGCAAACCCTAACGGCAAACCCTCGTGAGGTTAACTCTGTGCTTATGCGAAGAGCAAGTCGCTTCTTCGGCAGCAGTTGCGGCGACCTCAGAACGACGCCTAGCTCTGATTGGCTCTGATTAGGAAGATAGTGGGTAGACTTCAAGGCAGCTTGCTTTGAGGTCTATCCACTGTCCTTCAATCGGAGCCAATCAGAGCTCGGCGTTTTTCTGACGTCACCACAACCCCTGCAAAAGAAGCAGACGAACTTGCGATCCCCATTGTTTCTTCACCCGACAACCAAATATTGCAGGCGCTACAAAGTGCCCCCCCCCCCCCTCTTTCCAATAGACCCCCAAAATTATATACATTTATTATACAAATTTTGTTTCGCTTTTTCTTAACAGAAAAATGAACTACGCCTCGACGAGCGCTCGTTCTCCACACAAATGTAGCGCCAGTGGTCTGAACCAGATGACAAAGTTTCAAAACTCTCCCCGTTAGCTTATTCAAAAGTTAATAGCGATTTTCCGAAATTTACAACGGGAAAATGGCTGCCGGTGGAGCTCTCGAACACATGGAGCTTAATGGCGTCAGTTACTGAAAGCGGGCGCCATTTTCCAATCGAAATTATCAGAAAGTCACTTATGACGTTTGAACGAGATAATGATTACTTCTTAAACTTGGGTATCTGATTAGAACCTCTCGCGCTACATTTGGACGAAAAAAAAAAATTTTTTTTTTGCTGGAAAACAAGAAGGGGGTGGGGGTTGCGTCATCTTTCAGGCAGCGTGGCTTTAGGCAGTCGGCCTTTTGTAGCAGGAAAAATATTCATGATTTGGAGCAGCCACTGACGCTTTTGGAGCAGATGCCAACATCTGTTAACACATCACTTGAAAAAAGAAAACGCGACTCCATCGCTAAATGCGTTTATCTTTGATAATGATTGAGGGTTCCTCTTTGATGCTGAAGCATATTACCTACCTTTTTCTAATAAGAATAGGTAGGGAACAAAAGGAATTCGCAGGGCCTTTTTTAGGAATAAGGCCGAGGTCACAGTAAGTTTCATTTACAATGAGTATTAAAAACAGGGCTTCAAAATGAATCATAGCGCTACATTTTATCGGGATAAAGACTCTTCCTTTCTCTTTTACGGGTAGTTTACTATGCATATATACATAATTTGTGCAAAATTCCGGCAAATACCAGCCTATCTGCTATCAGGAATGATGTGTAATATATCATAAACTGAAGAAACAACCATCCAATATTATGAAGACCTTCACTTGTGCATTAACACTGACAGTGCTCTTTGGCGACGTTGGAGCCAGAGTCAAGTCAAAGTTTGCCGCTCTTTCGTTAGACAGGAACTACATTGACTACCGTATCTATTGAAATATACATTGGTATTTCTTAAATTTTATCGGCAAATATTTTTATGATGAGGGATTGACCGAGATTTAAGACCATAAAAAGGTGGACCTGTAAAACTAGCGAACATAAGTTCAGAGCCTGTCACGACAAACCAGGCGCTCCCCCGTGTCAGCCGCTGCTCCTAGCACTCCGGTGCAAACCGGCGAAGACCGACGCAGGCGCTGGTGAGAGGCGCTGAAGGTTGACGGAAGCTGCCCAAGGTGCCGTGGTGCACTGGAACCACGGCACGGAGCCATGTGCCACACATGATAAGTAAAGGGGCGACGCAACGATTTCTGTACCGCTTAGAACGAATACCTCACGTTAATGACCTATGAGACGCGTTCGATTCTCATCCCATGCAACTGAAGTCGCAGAAAAAAAAATTAAAAGAAAAAGGAGCACGTTTGCCTATGCAACTCGCAGCCAGAACAAGCGGCCTACGTGATCTGGAACTGATTATATGCCACTAGTGTTGATCACAGCCACGCACTGGGGTTGGCGAAGCACAGGACACGCACTGAGTTCCAGACGTTGTTGTAATTCGTCTATCGTCGTCATTGCAGCGATTGGACACGGGGCAATACCCGAATGCTTGTCGAATCAGCTGTTGAATATCACGAGCCCAAATTGAGTGCTCCCTCAATGCATGAGTCCAATCTATGAGCCACATTGAAATGCCAACACTGGAGGGTACTGCGACACGTCAGCTGCGTCGTCAAGTTTTCCGAAGGAGATATTGAGAGAAAACGCTCGCATTTGTCCTTGAAAATACACCGTAACAAAGGAGTTTCTTGGTCATTCGTTGCGTGTGAGTATACAGCTGTGACCCACTAGTGCCATTAAGCTCGTGTAAAGTGAAAATTATTACAAGCGAATGTCGCTGCACGGCCCCTTCAAGTGGTCTAGCCAGGGGTGCAGGAACCTGGTTCTGGCTTATCACAGTAGCCGCCATCGCACTTTTTTTTTTCGCGACTTTTAGCTTTTGACATTGCCGACATCGTCTGGAAATTTAGACGCTATCGGCGATCAACCGTCCAGCGCATCAACCGGCCAGCACAGTTCACGAGCAACCTTTATACTTCGTTTCGTCTTAAAACGCAAGCCGACGCTACGAACCAAGCGGACACATCAAACAGCATCAAAGCGCGACATCGTGGTATTCGTCTGCACACGTTTTTTCATGGGTAATACCAATAAAGTGCAGTGCGTGGTAAGCAACATAATTAAAACAGGAGACACGGAAACAGGAAGGACACACACACCACCGTCTTGCTATTCACCAGTGAATGTCCCATGACTAGCGCTTTTAGTATGTGCGGTTGTATATGGTCGAGTTTTCGAACTCTGCTGTGACCTAAGATGAGACGAAATATGCGGTAAGTAGAGACGCTGTAAAATACATATACGGGTGGATTTTTTTCAGAGCGCAGCTCTTAGGCGCCCATTTCCGACTTGAGCGGCGTCGCCGTCGGCGTAACCGCGCGATGAGTCATGGGAAATGTCCCACAATGCACCGCGCGAGACCCTCGGGACGTCACGAGTTGTCACGAGGGTCCCGCGCGGTGCATCATGGGACATTTCCCGTGGTGCAACGCGCGGGGAGAGGGAGGAGGAGGGCAGAGAAGGGATGATGGGAGGAGGAGGGATGAGAAGAAGGAGAGGGGGAGGAGGATGAGATAAGGGGAGTAGCTTGAAGGATGTTAGGAGGAGGACGAACAAGAGGAGGGGAGGAGGAGTAGCAGGGAGGATGAGGAGGAAAGGTATACCCTTTCCTCAGTACCCTTTCCTCCTCTTCCTCAAGAGCTGCGCTCTAATTCGGTGTTAAGCGCGAGACACATGGACGGCACAATCTTCCGACCCGACAGTCCCTACGCCGCTCCGAATTGTCGCACGCAACAGTTTGAAACACGTGCTTCCGACCTTGAATGCGACGCGACGATCCTTTCGGCGCCGCCCAGGAAATCTCTGGTCCCAGATTGACGGTTAGCTCGCAGGAGCGAAATTACGAGCTCGTTCTCGCTAGCGCGTGCATTCTTTGCTGGGGTCATCTTTCTCGAATGGGTCAGCGGGATTCACGCGTCCGGCTTCCCCTCGCCCGTCCTGCTATCGTGTTCGTCCCGCCAAACCCAGTACGTCATCATGACGTTCGCGCTAGCTGCGCTGTCATTAGCGAGTTTTAGTAGACCGTGTTTCCCGCTCCGCTAAACCCCTCCACTACCCGGAACTCTACAGCCAAGGCCATCGGCGCGCAGGCGCAGTGGCGGTTTCTTCGTAGCGGAGGGCTAGCGGAGCGGGAAACACGGTCTACTAAAACTCCCTATTGGCTGGACGCTTGCGACACTCCGTCCGCCGTGCGAAACTATCTGGCATGCTGGACGCACGCCGGATCGCCGATCCGACGTCTGAAGCGACCAAAGTTTTCGGATCAGGCAGTCGTATTGCTGGATCGGACGTCGGATCGGATGGATTTTTATCCCGCATGTGTCTCGCGCTTTACAGGGTGTCGAAAACGTCTTTCATTTTTTTATCCTCATTAAATTTTTAGAAAGAAGCCGTGAAAACTACACTTATGCGGTTTGTTCAGGTGAATAATAAGGCCTGGAGGACATAGTTTAGGGGGCTAATCGTAACAATCATTTGAATCATTAAGTAAAATTTTGTCATAACTTTTAGAGCACAGCTCTTAGGCGCCCGTTTCCGGCCTGAGCGGCGTCGGCGTCGCCGTCACCGTCGGCGTAACCGCGCGGTGCATTATGAGTACATTTCCCCGAAGGAACCCGAGGTCCTCCCGAAGGAACCCGAGGTCCTTCGGGAGGACCTTGGGTTCCTTCGGGAGGACCTCGGGTTCCTTCGGGAGGACCTCGGAGGACCTTTGGTGACCTCGGGGAGGGGGTCACGTGACCCCCCCCCCTGAGGTCACGTGACCACACCCCGAGGTCATGTGACCCC